TTCTCTTTTCCTTTACCCCCCCCCCCCCTCCCCCCCCCCGGAAAAGGTCATTAAATTCGTAAACTACTAAAACAGTTGCTTTTTGAGCTTTAAAGCCATTTCATTAAGATTTCTGCAACCAAGCATCTGTATTGTTTCAGACTTATTTCTTTTCTTTTAAAATTGCAATGATGTTTTATATGGTGAGTTAACGATAGCAGTAAACTCCAGTATGATCTTTGCTTTATGTGCCTGATGTGTTAAAAATTGAAACAAATCAGTTGGGTATTATGGGAAAAGCTGGTTCTATATTGGACTATGGAATTATAAATAAAAAATAATCATTGACTACACACAATCTATTTTTAAGGTTTATGTGTTTGTCACTTAATTGAAAATAAATTAACATGTTATAAGTTTTAATATATTTTAAAATAAATGGGTATCTGACACGAGACCAAATGTTTCCCTTTTGGTGCAAAAAGTCATGGCCTCACAGGATTAGTGATCTTTTTTTAGAAACCAAATGTTTGTTTAAATAGTGTTGGGACTAAGAGTTTAAAAACAAATGAAATAATGTATTTTTTGTTAAAAAAAAAAGTCTCGATTAAAGCTATATCATGTTTAATCCTGCATTCTGAAATTAATAATTCTATTTTAACCTTTTTTGACAGAAAAAATGGATAATTGTCATTGTATCACTGGTCTTGCTTGCGATAATTGCTCTAATTATTGGTTTATCAGTTGGTCGGTGATGCTTGGATAACTTCAGCATGCATGCCCCTCTGCCAGCATGGCAGTAAGTAACTAATCCACTAATTTTGCTTTTGTTCAGCATTGGCGACTCACTAAGCAAAGGCTCTTTATTTTACTGCCTCTTAATATCTATATAGTACAAACACCACACAAACGTGGATTTGATGAATTACTGGATCTGATTCATCAGAAGTTCATGTAAAAGCCCTTGTGTGTTTTCACAAGTGGGCATCTTGTGAATAGTGAAAACTGTGACATCTAGTGGTAAATTACTCATCTGGGAGATCACATGAGATACCTGAACATTTAACATCAGTGGGACCAACGTTGGTCTGCACTTTCTTTGGCATATAACTTTTTTTCAAATAATTTTTTTTTTACATGTTTAAACAGAATTTTCAACACAGACCCATGATACATTTTTGTGTGCTCTGTTTTGCAGCACAGATCATCCTTATGTTTTCCAGTTTGAAACAATATTTTTAACCAGCTCTTGTATGAGATGAGAACATCTAAAATAGGAATCTTCCTAAGAGGTTACTTTGGAGATAAGATAAGGCAGTTTCTTTTAAAACTTTTAAAACACCCTTTTTGCTGTATTAGTAGAATAAATTATTGTCCACGTAGCAGTGCCATGTCCAGTTAAACTATGATGAGCAAAATCATTCACTTTCTAATTTTAGGACATGAAGTTAATTAAACTAACACTCTTTAACATTGGAATGTTTGTTTTTGTTGTTATTAATGTAACTTCAGTTTAATTAGAAATTACTAAATTTACTAAACTACGTAGAATCTAAGATAGCTAACAATGCATTGGACTTCGTGATACATTATAGTCTGTGTAGCCCATTTAGTAGGACTGTGTGAAGCTTCGGCCCCTGATTCGATTTGGCGGAGTTTCGGCCCAATTCGGTGGCCAAATCTCCGAATCCAAATCAAATCAGAGGACCCTTTAATCTCTCCGAATTGAATTGGAACCCTCCACATTGATTCAGAAAGATTCAGAGATTTAGATATAGACACAGCTTTAAATATTTTTTCTACGTACCTCTCTGTAGCAGGCAGTTTGTGAATGCTGTGATGCTGGGGCACATGAAGTGTCCCACAGGAGTGCGGGGGACTCCCCAGTGCACTTGGCAGCAGACCCAGAAGTGGACCAGAAGTACTGCTCTGCCAGAGAGCGCACAGGGTGGGGGGGCACCCCCCAGCTCAGCAACTGGTACCTCCTGGGTCTGGGGGGCCCCTTGTGTTCCTGTGGGATGCTCCATCCACCCCACCATCACAGCATTCACAAGCCGCCATCGTACCTCAAGGTATGTAGACAAAACATTTAGAGCTGTGCCTATGGCCAAATCACTGATTCTCCAAATCAGCATCGAATCTATAGATTCAGATTTGGTCAATTCAAATCGGGGACAGTGATCCGAATAAATAAATCGAATCACTGTCCCTGATTCAGGCCAAATCCGAATCAAATAGGGCCTGCTTTGCACACCCCTACCATTTAGCTGTAACTCTTGTGATCTAGTAATATATCATTGGTTTTACTGACTTTTACTGTATGCTACTTGATACTCTGTTCATTCTTAAAGCTAAAGTAATACACAAGTATCTACCAAAAAAAGGCTAACATAAGCAGTTTTCCAATTTTCCTGTTATAAATGTATATTTTTCTTCATTCTCAGCTTTCATATTTAGTGAATTCTAATGTATTGACAGAATTTGCTTTTCCTTTTAATATGGGTGTTCCACAAAGTAAATGGACAGGTATTAGGTAAATAAAGTTGGTAGGGAGAGATTAGTCATAAGAATTGCACAGTATTGGGTTCTCTTTAAAAAAAAAAAAAAAAATTGAGCCACATATCAATATTTATCCATATACTATGTGTGATAGATACAGAATACGCATATGTGGTTACAAAGTAGATTGGAATTCTGATATGGTGCTTTAATCTAGATTTTTCTGTTTTTTTTTTCCAGAAAATGATGTTCATAATTATTTGTGTAACTGTCTTGCTTGTGATCCTTGGAATTATCCTAGCAACCACGTTCTCATAGCAAGCATATTCCAGGAATTATGAATCTTCAGACACTCCAAATCACAGCTACACTAAAACCAAATACTTTAGTTTTGTGTAAGGGATGTTTTACACCAAGTTACCATGATGAGCTATCATTAGAAATTTAAAAATGAAAACTCAGTGGCCCTTAATGTTTAATACTATCGGAGAACTGGTCTATTTATGGGATATGGGTTTGGATTTTCATCCTAAACTGCATGTGTTTGTGAGTATGAAGCCTGTTTTTAACCATTTTAAAAGTAAAGTGATTTGAGAAATCAGGTTTTGATATCATAGTGTTATGAACACAATTTAATTAACAAAACATTAAATAGTTCTATATTTGGCTTTACTCTTCAATTGCTAATATAAATCTAATTACGAATGTTAGTAGCACATTTGTGTTCTCTTCTTATTAGGAAAATAATTGATTTTTGAACACTTTTAATGAGTTGCTAACCATAACTTTAAATACAACATTAGCTGTTCAATCATCTTTGTGTATCTAGTTTTTAAAGAGAAATATCTTCCCCTGTGATAAGTACTGCATTATTTTATTTTCAAACTCAGTTTTCACTTAAGGATGATATTATACAACTGTTTTTAATTCGTTGAGGAAAAACCCAGGTTCCAGAAAGGTTATGAGGCAACCCAAAAAGAACTGAAATGCCTCCTTTTTATAGTGACTATAAAATATAAACTGTTTTTTTAAATCTCTCCAGAAGATGATTTGGAAGGTTTCACTCAACAACACTGCAGCAAGTTGCATTAACTTAGAATTTAAAAAAAGGCCTGGCTTTCACACATCACTGTGAAGCTTGCTGTTCAATTTTGTATTATTGATATTAATTTACTGTTTTTAAAAAAGATTTTAAGTAATTAATCCACATAATTAAGAAAATGGCTGCAATACTTTCCCGGCATAATAATGCAATAATGAATCGCAAATAGCATTTGAGCTTTTTAGAAAGATATGCACAATAAATTGTATTTTAGACTATAACACTAAATTGACTGATCAGTTTAGCTTTACAATTTACGTCAGTATGGCCAAATCCCGTACTTCATCTTGTTCCTCAAAGTAAAAATCAAGCCTTAATTTTCAAGTGTTTTGCAAATGGTAGTCCATGATGAAAGCAAACAGAAACAAATATATGCTTCTTTTAGTCGCATTTTAGTTTGGGATTTGCTAAGTGAGACACTGATTTGTTATGAAATTTACTGTTGTGAATTTATGTAACATGTATGAAGTGTTTAGTGTTAATAATATGCATCAGTTATGATAGTTTGTAAAGTTTTAAACTTTTCAAATGTAACCAATATAACTGAACTTATTGTTACATTTTGTACTTGTACCTTTCTGTGTAAAATATTTGTAATTTGTATTTTAATTTCTCATTGTTTAAATATATTTGTGTAGATATGTTGAGACAAATGTCAAACAAGCATAATGGGTGCCTTCTTAATACCTGGCCTAAAACTTTGTTCGTTATGATTGAAAATATTACTCTCCTTGGAGATGATGTTAAATGTAAAATTTTCTTTTTCTTGCAGTTTACTAAATCCTTAAACATTAAGATATATTTTTATTTAAAATATCTGAGATCCACGTTATACACTAAAATGTAGCTTTCAGAATACAGCCCATTTAACTGCTTCCTAGTATTCAACAATGCTTACAACATATAGCATCTATTGAGGAGTATTCCTGCACGATACTGCCCAAATGTACTGTGAATTTCTCTTCTGATTTATAGCTAGTCCTAAACAAACTTGTAAAAAAAAAATAGTCATGGACTCTTTTAAGTTTACTGAAATTTTATCATCAGTGAACATTTTTCTTTTAACCCTCTGTTGGAATCTGAGAAGTCTTCAGTGGGTTATGAGGGGGTCTTTGTGTAAAAGTACTGATGAGGTTGGTTTGCCTTAATATTCAGTTCTTAAGTAGAATGCCTTTTATTGTCTAGCTTTGTTTTCTATTATTTTTTACAAGTAAAACTTATTTATAGGAATTTACAGAAAATTTTAGTTCAGGAAATACTCCATGCTGTCATTTCAGTCATCCCACAAAATGCCAACTGCATATAATAATTTTGTGGTTTATCTGTTCATGTACAAGTGATTCTTTATCAGTAATATCAATTGCCTAGATCATGTAGTACTTTGTTATATAATTGCCTCAAATCCATTTTTTTATATATATATAGGCTATATATCTATATATATAGATATAGCCACATAAAGAGACAAAGAAATAGGTATGTGGCGTTGTATATCTATATAAACATTCTACACAACGCCACATACCTATTTCTTTGTCTCTTCAAAAACAAAGAACTAATTTCTGGTAAAACTTTATGGAAAAATCTTTAAGCCCCTATGTACAATTAAACTTATCTAAACAATACTTTATTTGTGATTGTTATTATGTTGAATATATTATTAATGTTTACACAGGCTGTTGGAAATGTGTGGATGTGTGGATGGGATATTAAAAAAAGCTTTTGTAAAGATCCAAAAACTGGTGTGTATATTAATTAAAGCTTTTGTAAAGATCCAAAAACTGGTGTTCCGTAGAATAGGAGAGAAAAGGCCGTAGCCTCAAGCGTTTCCTTTACAAAAATCTCTTATTAGGCCCCAATGTGCAATCACTGATATTGGTAACTTAATGAAGCCATCCCATGAGGTGAAACAGGAAATTATTTTTAATGAACACATTTTGAAGACATTGGCACTGCTCATTTTAATAAAAACAGTTCTGTATTTACACATTTATGTCCGTAGATTGGGGTACTTACGCGAGAGAAAACTAAAGCTGGTAACTCCTAATAACTGAGAGAAGGGAAAGCAAGGGAGTTCCTGAATGGCTCTGCAGTGAGTATTGATTTATTATTAAGACCTGGGGCTTCCATTTCTACATCTCTGGCTTAAATTAAGACCTCAAATCAACATTTTGTCGTGGTATTCTTGGAGTGATATTGTAGCTGTGATAGTCCCATAAATATGCAAGAAGCAAGGGTTTTTGAGGTGATAATCTTTTATTTGACCAGCTGCATAGTTGGTAGAAATTTTAGACAAGATTTCAGGCTCAAGGTGCACTCCCTCAGGTGACTCATTCCATTGGTCCAGTAAAAGAGGTCACCCCCCAAAAATTGCTGCTGCTGCTCGCAAATCAGGTCTTTTGGATCACGAAGAGCTAAATCATGGTAATCTTATTCATTTTGATCAGTGTTACTCCATGAAACATCGTGTTGACTTCCATGGGATTTCCAACTCGGTAAGGTTCTGTACCATATGAGGGAGGGAATTGGACTCTGGCCGTAAATCATCCCATTGGGGCAGCTGTTTCTGACACACAAATCACCTGTTTGAAAGCATGAACTCATTGGCTTAAAATAATTGTGTGCAGGTTTTCAAGGAGAAAGTATTATCAATCACAGCTTTTCCAACATGTTGGCAATATATGGCATAACACTTTCAAAGGTGTTTAAGTCCCATGTTGAAAAGTGACATAACTCCTATATCTATTTTGAAAATGGGCTTAGGTAGGGTTCAAAAGTCACTTAAGCATTTTTTTAAATGTTCTCCAAGATGATCTTTCATTAGCCTTTAGTACAGGGGTGGGCAAAATGGAGGATCTGGCCAGCAGCTGGATTCCATTTCCCAACAGCAGCTGCCTGCATGGCTGGTGCCGGTCTCCATCGCGATCCCAGCTGTGCTGTGATAGTGCAAGGCTGGGGTTGCCACGGAGACCGGCCCCAGCCCACTGGCAGGGTGCGCAGCAGGACAGGGCAGGGGGCTGGTCCAGAGCCGCTAGGATCTTGTGGTGGGGGCAGCTTGGTCGGGGCCAGGGCTGAGCCGCGATCCACTGCCTGCGCACCCCTGCCCTGGCTCCTTGCAGTAGCGACAGCATGGTCCCGAGCCAGGGCACAGCCACCATCTGCTGTCTCAGCGCACCTGCCCGGAGGGTGCAGGCTGCACATTGCGGCTCTGCCTTGGCCCCAGACCAAGCTGCCCCCTCCACAAGATCCCAGTGGCTCCAGAGCAGCCCCCTGCCCTGCCCTGCCGGGTACCCTACCAGTGCTGCTGGGGCCAGTTTCCATGGCAACCCCAGTCTTGCAATATCACAGCGCAGCTGTGGCTGGGGGCTCCAGACCCCAGCCATGCAGGCAGGAGCTGCTGGGAAATGGAGTCCACTGGTGGCCGGATCTGGCCCAGAGACCAGACTTTGCCCACCCCTGCTTTAGTATATAGCAAAGAAAATAGACCATTTCATATTACTTGCCATGTTTAAAGGATGGTCTAATTTAACACTTTGAAATATGATGTGCCTACTCAAAGTTGTTTTTGTATCCTGTTAATAATGCTGGAAAGGCTAGGCACAAGTGAGCATACCCACGTAGGTTTGAATCTGTTGTTTCTGGCCGTAGGAGCATGGCCTTGGAAGCATATCTGTTTCCTGGTAAATACTTCAGTATTCTCCATAAAAGCTAAGCACTTGCCATATTGTTTATCAAGTTGCCTCATGCTTCAGTTTCTCGTAATTTAGCAAAACTTTAGATCCTTTGGGCTGACATTTAACATGCTGGCTCTCTGCCACAGGGACTGGAAATGTCATGGATATGTCCTTGCTGTCATTGAGGAAATCCACCTACATTTTGAAACCTTTGAAAAGTACTTCAGCAGCTATATGATCTCTAGTGAGCGTGCAGAAAAAAACTCTCAAGAGTCCATCCTTCCTGAGCGCGTGCTTGACCCTCACAGCTCCTGGGGTTACAAGCTTAAACTGCTGGTCCTGCAGAGCAACTGAGCACGCTTCAGCAGCAAGCTATGAAAGCTGGAGATCCCCTACAGTGGCTGCTCTCAGCTGCTTTGCTGTGATGGGGCTGGCCCCGAAACAAGGGAATCTGGTAAAACGGGACGTTGAAGGGAAAAGGGGCTGGGTGGACAAGAATATTGTAACAGGAAGGAGAACCAAGAAGTATGGTGAAGCTGGGACTGTTTGAATGAGTGTAGAGAGACCTGGGAGAAGCAGCCTAGTGAGCCAAGGGGAATATTAAGATCCACTTGGCTGGGATGGGACATAGAGATTATGATGAGGAGCCAGAGAGGCAAGTAGCATAGGCAGAGTGAGACTGGACAAAGAGCAAAGGTTTGATAACAGGATTAGGAGCTGGAGTGGAGGAAAGAAAGTGAATCAGCAGGCTGGAGGATATAAATACTGAGCAAGAAGATTGGGACAGAGTATGGCGAGGGACTAAGCCTGGGAGCATATGAGCAAGTGGTAAGATTAGGACTTAAACAGCAAGGCTGGAGGGAGAGATGAAAACAGACTGATGCTGGAATGGGGAGTCTGAGCAGTGGAGACCACTGGGGGTGGACATGGAGGTATCATGTGGGAGAGGTAGGGCACAGGGCCTGAGGCAGGTTAAAAGCATGGAGCAGAAAGCTAAACATGGATGAGCTGGAGAAGTCTGCCTGCTAGAGCATGCGTCCTCCAAAGTTTGGACTGAAATCTAAGATTCCCAATGCCTGCCACTTCTCTGCTTCCAGCAACTACCTGTGAAATCCTCCAGCAAAGTGTGCATCTCCACCCTTGCACAGGTGTAAGTAGCAGTAGTAGGTTGTCCTCCTCTGAGTTGATTCCAGTAGGTCAAGTACGAGACAAAGGTCTGGCAGGGCTGAAGCAGCCTCTGCGCCGCCTGCTGTACAAGGTAGGTGTTAATGCAGTGCCACTGCTGGAATTTTTGGAATGGTTTTTTTTTTTTTTTTCAGTTTGCGTTCAAAAAAAGGAAACTCCTGGCATCCACATGCAAAAAATAATAATAATCATTCTGATCACCAAGGCAAGCACTCGGTTGTCACAAGTGATGTGTTTTGAATGGAGTAAGAGCCAATTGCTCTGAAAAATCAGGTTCTAGATGCCTCAAATCGGGCATCCAAAATCAATGCGTTATTTTAACTTGACTTTTTCTGTTTATCAGTCTGATTTGTAACATGAGAATACCACCGCAGCACAGAGGCACGGTAAACATAAGCTAATGTTTAGGTACTCATGCTACAGGGATGAGTGCCTGAGTAAAACATGAGATGCTATGGTTGGAGTGCTGGCTGTTGTAGCCTTGATGGCCCAGGGGATGTATGAGGGGACGTTTGTTTTTTGATGATAACTTTTATTGAACCAACTGTATAGGCGGGAGAGATGAATAATTCTGTTTTGAGAATTCTGGTCTATTAAAGACCTAGAATATTAGTTAAGACACTAAGCCTCCGTTTCTATTCTTGGTTTTAGGAAAAAACAGATTAGGCACCTACCTATACGACACATCATATTATAACACTATGGTTAGGTGGGTCTTTAAACTTTCACCCAAATGAACATGAGTAACCACTGCATGCTCCAGCTCAAGGGTAGCACCTTTTCCATTGCCCCATCCGTTTACTACTACACTGCAGTGTTTTTCAATTAACGGCAGCCCAATTAAACTAGGAAAAGCCAGGGGGAGACGGATATAGTAATGGTGAGACTGGCAAAGGAGTGATCACAACTTGAGCTGTATAAAAATGATAAAAAGATGAGCTTTTCTGTGGAAATCAAGGTCTGCTTCTTCCCTTCCTCTCCTATTCGGACAAACAGGCACAAAATAAGAACTTTGGAAGTTCATCAGCCTCCAGTTAACCAATATTAAATGTACTCTGATATGTTCTTGTGACTCATATGCCTTTCCAAAAATAACCATGGCACTCTTCCTCATACTCGGGTCAGTGGGTCAGTCTTTGCACCTGTGAAGCAACTCAAGCTTTTTTGTCATGGACAGCGATTGGTTCTTCAATTGCTTAGTACCAGTCACAGAATCTATTTTGGTTAACATTATCAAACATGCAAAGTCCGTTTCTGTCAACAGCCAAGTCTTTACGAGCAGAGATTTGGAATAAAAAGACCATATAATCTAAGGAATACACAATAAAATCTCAGGTGTGCAAGAACAAAAGCTTTTCTTGGATATTTTTTTCACAAAGGGGAAAATAGAGTAGCAATGGTAAGTACTGAAAAAGATCATTGTGATGTTTGCCTACTGTAGCCAAGGCTTTATTCTGTCTCTAGAGACTGTGCTCAAACAAATTTATTGTGAACAGGGGAAAGCGGGAGATGGTACAGTGTCTGCTGTTGAGCAGTTATTCCCAGTCACAAATAACTATAAATGTATTTGACTGTTTTCATTGGAAGACAACAGGCCATTTCTTAAACAAGAACTGTACAGTTGTTTTTCAGTGTTGTTTCCATTGTACGATGGCACGCAAGACGGTGTTTGGTCACCATCTGGTACTTACTATGATTTGAGGAAAGGAGAATACTGACCAACTCCAAACTAGTAGAGTGCATGTCCATCAGCTTGCATAGTGACTCAACAAATGCAAAACCTTATGCAACAACAAAATTGCAGTCGTGTAATATATATTCAGCCAGCTGAAACAGACTTTTCAACATTATTTCAGCTGCATGCTTGTCTGATGCTGCAGCATACAAAACTGGTGACTTTTACAGTTCAAAAGAAAGTATGCCTTTAATTCTCATTCAGACTTGGGCCCTCTGTTATGCAATAATAAAATTATTTGGAACGTGTTTGGAGTAATGAACCCTCTAGTCTGAAGAGTACCAATACAGGAGTTAGAGCTAGGATTCTTGAAGTACGTGGAGACATTCGCTAACAGCTTCTAGAAAATGCAGCATGGTAGTACCAATATGGTAGAGCATGTAGTAACTTTTGTTAGTTTGTTGCATTTTAGATGGGTCTGGAATTTGTGGGGGGGGGGGGTTCCTGAATTGTTTAACATGATCTTGATAAATATTAGTGCGTTTATGAAGGTATCAGGTGGCTCGCTGTGTAGTTCTCTGGGGCAGGGCCGTACCCTGAAACACTGGATTCTTAAATATAGTGTGGAACTTTAGAACAAAAGCTTTATTCTGGTTTCACGGGCTTTGTACAAGTACTGCATATCTGAATGTTACATCGATTAGTATTGCCCCCCTGGAGTTTTTTTTTAGCTAAAACTTTAAGATTTTTTTTTTTTTTTTTGGACAAATTACAGGCCACAGCCTTAAGCAACCATGAAAAAGAAACTTTCCAATATTTGTTTTATCATATTTGGATGATTTTGGAGAGGGAGGATTTTGGAGAGAAAACAAAGCACCATTATACTGCAGCTCAGCGTTTCCCATTACTTGAGGGCTGATATAATTATACCATCTCCCTGAATGACCCCCTTCCCTCAGTTCAGCTGTGTCTATATCTGGGGTTTTGCTAGTATAGCTGTATCAGCTGGGGGTGTGATCTTTTCACATCCTTAGCTACCATGCACTTTAGACTTAATTAAGTTAACTAAGGCACTTTACTTGGATCCAGGTCCTGAGTAGATGTTATTTGCCTGAGACTCACAGGAAGCCTTGGAAGAGAATAGAGAGCTGGGCTTCCTTTTACATTTGACCAGCTGAAAGGAAATGGCCAAAATGTTATAAAAAGAAGCTTAAGAGAAAGGCAAAGGAATTTTCAATACAGTGAAATAATTGTGTTAATGTTTCTTTCGTGTTTAACAGTTATGGGTGAGAAACAAAGTACTTATACCTATGGGAATTTTTTTATTTTGCCAGATCATGTGCCATTACCATTTCAAACGTAATAGTAGTCTTTTTTTTTGTGTGCGTGTTTGGAAAACTAAGCACTCGTTTTTCTGATTATTTGACAGGAGGAAAGAAATGCACTCTGGCCAAATTTCCCGTCAGCTGGAGTTGTGCCCTCCTACTGAGCCATATGAATTATTTACAGGGTCAGATTATCAGAATGGCTTGTAAAGAGAATTGAGTGCCCAGTTTCTGTTTTGTTAAGGGACCTGGGAGTCCAGTTACTTCGAGTAATTTTGGAAAATACCAGGTTTCATCTTCAAAGTGTCTTGCAAAAATAATCCCCATGATGTGACTGAGATGATAACATTAAGGGATGTGGGAATTGGGATAGAGATGTAAAGTGACTTCGTGACCCCCCCCCCCCCCCCCAAAAAAAAAAAAAAAAAATGCGTGTCAGCACTGGAATTTGTTTGCAGGCGTTCCTGTGTTTAAACCACTGGGTGATGCATCTTTCTCAGCCATCAGTCACCTTTAGTTCTGTAGGTAAGGGTTGAACCTGACCCTATGTTGACTGTTACAAAGGACTGTTATGGAAAAAATGGTGTGCTGGCTCTCTTGTCCAATTACGTTAAATTTTGGAGGACAACAGATGGCATAGATGCCTAGTCCTGATGGGAAGAAATTCATATTTTCATCTTATAATAGTTGTAATCTCCTATCAATTATGCATTCAGTAATGATAAAGCACTTTCCTCTGCCATTACTCCCATTCATTTGGTGCTTTGGAGAAATGTTATTTCATTTCAGAATTCATTTTCTGAACAATTTCACATGACTGATTTAATCATTTAAAACCAAAATTTTAGGCTGCAGAGCTCTTTGTCGGGGTTTTGCAGTGTTACTCTTTGTACTGCTCCCTAGAATAATGCATTTGATAGCTCATGTGCATGGGGCTGGAATACAGACTTGGCAACCTGATGTGTATTCTGTCATTGTACCCGATGTACTGGCTCCCAATCATGATCCATCTCTTCCTGTAAATGATTTAAGAGTCTGTCTCATTTCTATTTTATTTTTAATATAAAAGTTTTAAAGGGAGAAATGGTTGGATGCTGATCCAGGCTCTGCAAACAAAAATCCCAAAACATGGGGATAATGTAAAGTAGCAAGAAAGCAATGAATTCCAGCACTTGTACTGGGGTCCTTCCTCCGGTTGTGGTTATTACCATCCACTTAGAGCCAGGGCCTAAAACTAGTGTATTTTATGAAGCGACACTACCAAGACATTATATGGAGTGAGAAGGAACAGTCTTGAGGTTAAACTCAGTATTTGCTGGGTTTTCTCAGTTTTTTCATATGAAGTTGCTCACTGTGATATTTGCAAAATTCATGATAATGATTCGGAGAGAATGGATACAACTCATATGGATGGAACCAAGAACTTGAATAGAATAGGAAATGCTGATTCAGTATCAAATTCTCATCCACATTTGTGTTAAAGTGGCAGTAAAGATTAGCTAGAAATGTAGTTTATTGTCATTGAAAATTGAAACTTTGTCCACACCATTAGAGTGAAGCCCTCAAGATCCTGTCTCATTCGCTAAAAGCAAAAAATCCAGCCAGGAATTATTATCCAAACCCATTTAATCTTAGGCTGTCAAGCAATGAAAATTGCAAGGCAACACTGAAGATGCACCAAAAAGGTAGAGTTTCTGTTGAAGTAATTCTATTTCACAAATAAGGAGGTGTGTGGAAAGTTAATAGAGCAAGGTATTTTTGACTGATTATCTGCAATAATGTTACAAACTTAGTCTTAACCCCTAATCATTAGAACATGGTTTAATAATATTTATTCAGTTCACAAAATTGATCTGTGCAGACTAAATACTGAAGTTCTGTAGTAATGTATGAGATGCTCAGTAGTGTAATGGGGGGAAGACACTGGAAATGTCATGGAGTCTACACTGACCAACAGCTCTCATG